CATAAATTGTTTATTTTGTATTACATTATGTATTTTAACAGTGTTATTCAATGAAACCATATAATTATTAATTAACCAATCATTATTCTTTTCTCGGCACCCTGCGTACTCTGCGTATACGGAGGTACTGCCTGCATGCATGCATGCAAACACTCACCATCTGAGATGTGTCCAAAGAGACAATGGAGCGAGTCTCCTCACGAGGGCACTCTAGCGCACTGGACACACTCGTCCCACCTGATCGAGAGAGAGAGAGAGAGAGAGAGAGAGAGAGAGAGAGAGAGAGCGCGAGAGACAGAGAGAGAGAGAGAGAGAGAAAGAGAGAGAGAGAGAGAGAGAGACAGAGAGAGCGATCTATAATTTTGACCCATACAATGTATTTTTGGCCAGTCTTCAGTGTCACATAATCCTTCAGAAATCAGTCTAATATGCTGATTTGCTGCTCAAGAAATTGATTATCATCAACTCTGAAAACAGTTGTGCAGCTTATCTTTTGGTGTAAATGTAATCTACAGAAAACAATGTTCTTTTTGTCATTTAATTTGTGCTATTTTTATTTGGAGTGTGTTCAGAATTAGGGGAAAGTGAATAAAACAGCAGGAAAGTGCAAAGAAGCATAAACTAAAGCTATAACAGTTAAATGACATGCAACAGCTAAAGTGGTAGTTTTTCATCTTGTTTTATATATAAACAATATTTAAAATGATAATTCCGATCATCAGCATTAGATGCGTTTTATTTATGCAGGTACTTGCCTCCATATGGTATCAAGCAGACGTTGTGTTTGCAGGCCAGCTCCACAATCTTCTCCACATCACTGTGACAGCCTGAACACAAATGAAAAGACCATTATAATCCACTCAACTTATTTAAACCACTTTCATATCACTAATAACAAAACATCTCTTACGCCTAGAATACTGTTCAAGACTTTTTTCATGTTTTTGAAAGGTCTCTTATGCTCACCAAGACTTCATTTATTTTTATTTAGAAATAAAAAGTAAAAACAGTAATATTGTGAAATATTATTGTAATTTAAAATAATTGTTTTCTATTTTAAACTGTAATTTGTTCCTGTGATCAAAGCTGGATTTTCAGCATCATTACTCCAGTCTTCAGTGTCACACGATCCTTCAGAAATCAGTTTAATATGCTGATTGCATCTCAAACATTTCTTATTATTATCAGTGTCGAAAAACAGTTGTGCTGCTTCATATTTTTGCAGACACCATGATACTTTTTTTCAGGATTCTTTAGTGAGTAGAAAGTTCAAAAGAAGCAGAAATCTTTTGGAACATTATAATGTGTTTACTGTGTTTCGAACTTTTGAACAGTTCTGTACAACTGCAGAACATTTTTGTTCTGCAAAGGGAAAAAAAAACCCACCTCAATCCCGTTTACCTCCAGATAAGTGGATCAATATCTAGCACTGACCCACTGGAGCACATCTGACTGCCCACTAAACATCCCACACAATAACACACAGTGAGTGAATCTAAGCTCAATACTGCACCTTATTGTTTACAAACCGTCACATTTCTTCGTGAAAGAGAGTATTCAGTTGGAAATAATGTCAACTGGAACATGATTTCAAATCAATTTCAAATTCACATTTCATTGAGATCATAAAAAACCAAGCATTTCTCGTGTGTGTGAGGGGCGACTGTGATGGTTACAGGATAATCTTCTGAGGGTGAATCCTGTACGATTGGAGAACCGCTGAGGTAAAGGAGGCGTATAACGGGGAGGCAGATGCTTTGCTGGCCGCTTGGGTACTCTTCTAATCAAAGCTCAGCCATCAATCAGAGAGAGTGAAATGGGTGCCGTCAGGACTCCACCAATAAGAGAGCAGCTAGAGTATCACTGGACGGCAAACGCCCTCTTTCCCGCAGTCACTCACTCGGCCAAACCACCATGTCGGGCACCCGTCCTATCCTCCCCTCGCGCAGGGCAAAGACCTCATGCAGGCAGTGACCTGAGGACGACAAGAAAAAAAGCTTTCAGAAAGACATCCAAATCCAGCTCGTTCATACTAGTAAAGTACTAGACAATAAATAGCACCCAAATAAACGGAAAAAAGGGAGTTCCTGATCTTTTTTGTAATATGAACACCTATGGTCCAATTTATTAACTTGAGGTACCCAATACGGTTTTGAGTAATACTGTAACCTCTTAATAAACATATCACCATTTATAAGTTTTAGGCGAGTATGATTTATTTTTTAAAGAAATTATTACTTTTAGGATTAATTAACTTGATCAAAAGTGACAGTAAAGACATTTCATCATTTCGGTTTCAAATAACTTCTGTTCCTTTGAACTTTCTATTTATCAAAGAATCCTATTAAAAAAAAAAAATCGCGGTTTCCACAAAAATATGAAGCAGCGCAATGGGTTTCAACAGTGATAATAATAAGAAATCAAAGTAGTCATGCTGAAAACTCAGCTTTGCGTCACTGATAATAGATGACATTTCAAAATACATTAAAATAGAAAACAGTTATTTTATATTGCAATTTTATTTGTGTTTCACTGTATTTTTGATAAATACAAGTAGCCTTGGTGAATATAGGAGACTTCTTTCAAAAACATTAAAAAAAACAAAATCTTACTGACCCCAAACTTTTGAACTGTAGTGTATTAGGAATAATAAATTAAATGACTTATTTTCATATATAAACTAAAGAGTAAAGTGTTTTGACCAAATCAAAATTAAAATAAAAACGGATTTATCTCTTTTTTTTTTCTAGCAAACTCTCTTTTAAAAGTAAACTCTGTAATTTAAAAAAAAAATTCTCATATTTCACCCCTTAATCAAAAGAAAATAAAAACATAACCTGCAAAAATAAAACCTATTTTAGGACCATTATAATTTTTGCATTGTCATATTCAATGGAAAAATGATTTACCAAAATAAGGTTGCATTTCTTTATGAAACAAATTTCCCACAGGTGAAATACGAAGTAAAACATGAATAAATGAAACCAAAAAAAATTGAAAACTTTCTGCCAAACACAAAGATGTCAGTTCTGTACCATGAGCTCGGAAAACCCGGTCCTCTGGGTCATGTGACACGGCCAGACCCGCAGCTTTCAGATCCTCGACGAAGGGCTGGTTCAGGTTAGGAGGAGCAACTGCACTTAAATTCAGACTGGGCTGGAGGAAGACACACACACACACCATATTACACACACACACACACACACACACACACAAGAGTCTGATATACAGCAGGTCCGATATATCACACTTGACTTACTGTCGCAGGAGATCTGTGCTGTAAATTGGCACCAAACGTGCCCTCAAACCAGTCCTTCAGACTTGGCAAAATCAGCCCACTCAACCGATACCTGAAACCACCGAAACACACACCCATTCAGTCAAGCGGTTTCATTACAGTCAACACAGCAAACTACATTTGCATTGCCATGTAAAGATTCCTGTAAAACATGTAGATTTTTGGTTCTTAATTCAACTCAATTGTATACAATTAATGACTCATTTAATCGATTAAATCTTTCTAATGAACGACTCTCACTCTCTGACCCAATACTGTCAGATGAGTCCTGCCAGGGGCCGGTTGCATAAACTGTTTAGACAAGTCTTAAAAAGTTAGTTTTCCTCAAGACTGGTCAGAACTTTTATGAAAAGGCAGATTGGTCTTCTTTGTATTGGAGACGTAAGACTGATTACCCCTTGGCAACTGCTAGTTCTTCAGACACAGTCTTAAGATGTTTATGCAGCTGGCCCCTGGTGTTGAGATGCAGCAGTGCAGATTCCAGACACTAGATGGCATGAGCACACCACACTGAACCACGAAAAACTACATCACGTGCACCTCTAGTCCTCCACACAAAGGAGCTGACAGTTCCTACCAAATCTTAATATATATGTGACCCTGGACCACAAAACCAGTCCTAAGGGTCAATTTTTCATCGGAATAAATCAGCTTTCCATTGATGTATGGTTTGTTAGGATAGGACAATATTTGGCCGAGATACAACTACTGAATATCTGGAATCTGAGGGTGCAAAACAATCTAAATATTGAGAAAATGGCCTTTAAAGTTGTCCAAATAAAGTGCTTAGCAATACATATTACTAATGAAAAATTAAGTTTTGATATATTTACAGTAGAAAATTTACAAAATATCTTCATGGAACATGATCTTTACTTAATATCCTAATGATTTTTGGCATAAAAGAAAAATCAATAAATTTGACCCATACAATGTATTGTTGGCTATTGCTACAAATATACCCCAGCGACTTAAGACTGCTTTTGTGCTCCAGGGTCACATATTTCTATTTACACACACACGCTTTACTTTTCCATTCCCAACTAGCAGCTGCAACGTCATCAGTCGGCATAACAGACAAAAGCAACATTGTTTCTCTGGCACAGTGACCTCATCTCATGAGCCAGCGTATATATATATATATATATATATATTATGACATGCCTTGTATTTGTTATGATGAAATACTGAAGCAACAGCATATCATCTGGGCATGTGTTAGATTAAGCAGCGCCACTGTGTCTGTATGACTACACAGAAAAGGACACATTGTGTGACTGCGTGTGTCTGTAGGTCCTTGAGACTGTGCTTAGGGAAACTTCTCCATCCGGGCCAGTTTTATGAGTGCCACGCTCTGTGTGAGAGGCTGTTTATGCTAGTGTCCTCTATGCAGATGTTTAAAAAGCACAATGACACGTTTCAAAACACTACAATGCCCAAAATTGTCCTTGCATAGCTAGAAGCATTCATGCACTTGAGAAGAATACTGTATGTTTCGACTGAACTGTAGAATTTCTTTAAAAAAAAAAAAAAAAAAAAGAAAGAAAAAATTTACTGACCCCAAACTTTTGATTAGTATTGTATATTGTAACACAACATTTCTATTTTGAATAAAGACTGTTTATTTATCAAAGAATCCTGACACAAGTATCACAGGTCCCAAAAAATATTAAGCAGCACAACTGTTTCCAACATTGATAATAAATCAGCATATTACAATGATTTCTGAAGGATCATGTGACACTGAAGACTGGAGTAATGATGCTGAAAATACAGCTTTGCATCACAGAAATAAATTATATTTTTAAGTATATTAAAATAGAAATCAGTTATTTTAAATTGCATTAATATTTCACAAATTTACATTTTTTTCTGTAATTTTTATCAAATAGATACAGCCTTGATGAGCAGAAGAAACTTCTTTAAAAAAAAAAACATAAAAAATCTTACTGAGCCCAAACTTTTGAGTGCCAGTGTAGACAAATGTACAAATACAGTGTACTTCATACAAAATGAACTGTAGAAATTATTGTTAAACTTAATTAACAAAATCTTTAAAAGTTAACTTGACTATAAATGTATAATATATGGTTAATGTTTATAATATGTAAATGGTCATAAATATATAAATCATTTACAAGCTCTATAAGGCAAAAAGGGTAGGCTACATCTTATAAACTTGTTCAATATTTTGAACACTTTTCAGCCATCTTATCCTGACAAATTTGTAATATCTTCTTTCCATCTTTGTCCAGAATAAGTGGAAATTATATTTAAAGGAATGCTGTTGTCCATACAAATAAAAGCCAGTGGGGTCCAAAACAACGACTTTCACTATACGGCAGGGTTCCTCAATAGGCGGCCCGCGGAAAAATGTTTGGCCCGCGCTAATTTCAAATAATGTGGCATGAAAATTCAAAGTAAGAGTACAGAGTAAAAAAAAAAAAAGTACAGATTTTTCATTTTTTGGTGAATCATCACTAAGATTGTAGTGCTGTCAGCTCTGATTGATTAACACATTTACTGTATATCATGTTGAAATCCACAGATTTCAATCAGTGCAGTAAAAATATCGGAGTCTATACGTCTATTCTGAGTCTAACTGGTGTTTGTTTGGTGCCTCATACTCACCGTTTCCCTGTGAACTCTGCTTGACCCTTTTTATTGAAGAGGAACCTCGAGTCACTGTAACCCCAGCCATTCCACTTCATGATCTCCTGTCTGAGAGAGAGAGAGCGCTTGAGTTTACGTGCCATTTTACAACAGCCAATAGCAAAGAAAATTCAATGATATACAACCTTCATCTTTACGTCTACAAATATAATATTCCATTTTAGTGGCCATTATAGTGACCTGATCCTTTGTTAGGATAGGACAATATTTGGCTGAGATACAACTATTTGAAAATCTGGAATCTGAGGGTGCAAAAAAATCTAAATATTGAGAAAATCGCTTTTAAAGTTGTCCAAATTAAGTTCTTAGCAATGCATATTACCAATCAAAAATTAAGTTTTGATATATTTACGGTAGGAAATGTACAAAATATCTTCATGGAACATGATCTTTACTTAATATCCTAATGATTTTTGGCATAAAAGAAAAATCAATAATTTTGACCCATACAATGTATTGTTGGCTATTGCTACACCAACATTGATAATAAATCAGCATATTACAATGATTTCTGAAGGATCATGTGACACTGAAGACTGGAGTAATGATGCTGAAAATACAGCTTTGCATCACAGAAATAAATTATATTTTTAAGTATATTAAAATAGAAATCAGTTATTTTAAATTGCATTAATATTTCACAAATTTACATTTTTTTCTGTAATTTTTATCAAATAGATACAGCCTTGATGAGCAGAAGAAACTTCTTTAAAAAAAAAAACATAAAAAATCTTACTGAGCCCAAACTTTTGAGTGCCAGTGTAGACAAATGTACAAATACAGTGTACTTCATACAAAATGAACTGTAGAAATTATTGTTAAACTTAATTAACAAAATCTTTAAAAGTTAACTTGACTATAAATGTATAATATATGGTTAATGTTTATAATATGTAAATGGTCATAAATATATAAATCATTTACAAGCTCTATAAGGCAAAAAGGGTAGGCTACATCTTATAAACTTGTTCAATATTTTGAACACTTTTCAGCCATCTTATCCTGACAAATTTGTAATATCTTCTTTCCATCTTTGTCCAGAATAAGTGGAAATTATATTTAAAGGAATGCTGTTGTCCATACAAATAAAAGCCAGTGGGGTCCAAAACAACGACTTTCACTATACGGCAGGGTTCCTCAATAGGCGGCCCGCGGAAAAATGTTTGGCCCGCGCTAATTTCAAATAATGTGGCATGAAAATTCAAAGGCAGCATCAGAACGCGACATTAACTTACATCGTGTCTACACCGGACGCGAGCGGCGCGGCACATTAAAATACAATAGAACTCGTTATAATCAGTGATGCTGTCTACAGATGCGGCACGACAAATCCCCGACAGAACACTGCTGACTCGTTCTATTTATAACGTACTGACACAAAGTTCAAATGATTTGCAATGCTTTGTCACGTCCAGTGTAGATACGATGTGACAGCAAAACATGGCAAGTGTGAAGTAAAGAAAAGTGGACGCTGAAAATAGATGATTCAAATGTGAATGGACTGAACAGTTTTGAGTGAGTGAGTGTTGTGCTCCAGGGTCACATATGATAACAGGCACTCATGAGTTACTATAGAAGTCCTGAAGGTCGCTCTTCTCACTTTTCCCATCACATACCACATTAGAATTTATTTTCAATAAAAATTAAGAAAATGTTCTAAAACTGGAAGTGCCTAACGAGTGTTTAATAATGATAAAAGTATTTATAATGCTTTGTCACGTCCAGTGTAGATACGATGTGACAGCAAAACATGGCAAGTGTGAAGTAAAGAAAAGTGGACGCTGAAAATAGATGATTCAAATGTGAATGGACTGAACAGTTTTGAGTGAGTGAGTGAGTGATTCCATCTTTGTTATGGATGTTGGTTCCCAGTGAGTTCACAGTTTTAACGTAAGTTTGCTTTAGCCTAATTTATTTTCAAGATCTGAGGTAAAATATCTATTGCTGCTTTCGCTATGGCTATAAAGATCACGCAAAATAATATTCAAACTCACATTAGACATTAGTCATATTTTGTATGTTGTTCCTGCCGCGACGTCGCAGAAAATAAAAACCATTTCTACAATCGATTTCCGTGTCTGTTATTGTCGGTTAGTGTCGCTGTCACGGGTGGTTAGGATGTAAATAGCCGCTGCCGTATTTTTCTTACCCTCAGATCATTTGTAAAATAAGAAAAATGCACTTAAATTATTATTCAATATTTTGTTGCCCGTGGAATACCATGAAAATGAATAGCCTATTAGTTCAATAACCTACCGTTCTGCCAGTTTTCACCTGTGATATTATAACAGTGATAAGAATTAAACTTGTATTGACTCTGAAGTATGCAACGTCTTTTTGTCGGGTGCTGTTGCCATGGTGCATCGTAATATCGGAGCTCCATTGATCATGGCTTTTCATAGTCGTTGTACACGCGCTAAACTCAGAGTCAACCTACTCAGTCGATTGCATATGGCAACATAGCAGTGTTACTTATGTTGTTCCTGCCGCGACGTCGCAGAAAATAAAAACCATTTCTACAATCGATTTCCGTGTCTGTTATTGTCGGTTAGTGTCGCTGTCACGGGTGGTTAGGACAAAAACTACATAGAAAAGATACTTTTTATCGCGTCGTGTCTGGTTGGGACACACGGTGTTACAGTTTGATCCCCCCCAAAAAATCTAAGCATAAAAATATTAATACTGACAAATTTAATAATTGAATCTGCAATTAGGGAAAGTGGAGAGAAGAGATCCAGTCTGGGAATGAGCAGGAACAGTTGATTTGCATGGTAGACATGAATATCCAGATTTTTTGTTTGTTCATTTGTTTTTAATATTCAACAGGCAAAGTTCTTCTGTATCTAAATGCAAAAATGTTCATAATTGTTTGAATAAAACAGACTACTTTAAATTATTATTATTATTATTTTATATTTTTTTGCCTGTGGGATACAATGAAAATGAATAGCCTATTAGTTCAATAACCTGCCGTTCTGCCAGTTTTCACCTGTGATATTATAACAGTGATAAGAATTAAACGTGTATTGACTCTGATGCAGAAGTCTTTTTGTCGGGTGCTGTTGCCATGGTGAATCATAATATCGGAGCTCCATTGTTCATGGCTTTTCATAGTCGTGGTGCACGCGCTTAACTCAGAGTCGACCTACTCAGAGTCGATTGAACTAACTCAATTCAGCTGTTCTGAAACCGAAAACTCAACAGTTCCCCATCTCACAGAGTAAGTCAACTCAGAGTTCAAGTTTTAACCCAGAGTTGGTTGAACCTCCTTATTGAAACGGGCCCCTGCTCGGTCTTGTCTGTCAGCGTGTTGTCAGTTTCCTCTTTGCTCTGCGATGTATTTTTTACTGTGAGAACATGGTGTGTAGTGTGAGAGTGGCATGGCTTGTCGGACAAAGCAACAGTAACTAAGGAGGGCGGGTTTTTGAGAAGGGTTAATTGAGTGCAAAACTGTTTAACAAAATTATGCCATGAGAAAATGTTTTGGTTTGAAAATAAAAGAAAAAATAAAATAAAAGGATAATTTTCTGTATCCTGTATCCATTTTTAACATTGAACTGTCATTAAAAATGATTTTAAAAGTGACAATTTGAGTTTTGAAATTTGAAATTTTGTTCTCTTATGCTTGACAAGTTTTATCAAGCATAACATTTCACTGATCAATTTGTCAATTTAAAACTTATAATATTTCACAATATTACTGTTTTACTGTATTTCTCATCAAATAAATGCAACCGTTACAAGCATTCTTTACAAGACTTCTTTCAAAAATATATAAAATCTGCCTATAACATAAAATAAATTCAAAAATATGCCTATAACATAAAATAAACAGAAATAATGCTATGTTAAACTGCTTACACTATGTATAGTATGTATAGAGTTTACCTCTCATCAGTGCTGATGAAGTAATAACCTTAAATGAACAGTTTATAATGTTCCTCCACATCACATTCTCCTTAAATTACGAAAACCCTTATTTATAGTTGTGAGCAGAGCTGGGAAGTAACTGATTACATGTAATCTGGATGGCGTAATCCGATTCCAAAAATTAAGTACTTGTAATTAGATTAAATTACATTTTAAAATATTTGTAAATCAGACTACGGTTACTTTTTTTATGGATTAGCCTACATGATTACATATTATTTACACAATAATAAAAAAAAAATTATGATTTAATTAATTAATTGAGCTTTTTAATAAACTCATAAACCCCCTGCAGGTCCTTCACAAACCCAGTTTGGGAAAACTTGATGTAATATAATGTTTAATGCACTTCATATTGTTGATAACAATGAGTGGAATATATTTTCTTACTCTTAATATGGTACAAAATTGGTATCCTATTTAAATCAATGTGAGAAATGGGATATTTCAAAAGTAATCTAAAAGTACTCTGATTATATTACCTAAAATATGTAATGTAATGGATTACGTTACTAACTACAATTTTTGTCATGTAATTTGGAATCAGTAACAGACTACAATTTGTAAGGAATCTACCCAGCTCTGGTTGTGAGGATATTATCTTAACTTGAACCGTCAACTGGTTTGTGGTCTTTAGCCACGGCCAATCACTAACAGCACACTTCTCTTCTCGTTTCTCAGACCTCTACACATGAGTAACGATAAGTGTGATGATTGCTGATCAATGATTTGCTTATCAAGCCAACTAAAGCGCACGATGATCCCTCCAGGCTTCAGTGCAGCTGTGATCTCTGGAGCGCTGCGCCCGCTGTGGGACTCGACTCAAAACACACACACTGTCAGATTGCAGAAACACGCGAGAGGGTGATCAGAGACAGGAATCTTCTGAGAAACAGACACAGTCAAACCCTAAAGCACTCATCAAATGCACAGCCGTTCATGAGGACTTCTCAACAGCAAAGAGCAGTGTTTATGCTATATTACGCTATGTCCAGCATAAATCGCACAGGAAAATACTTTATGGATTTTTTAAGCATTGTAAACTAAAAGACAAGGCAGACTATTCCTACCATCAAATTCTGTCTTCTACTCACCTATATCATGACTTGCTTTCTTCT